ACCACTGTGGCTCCTCATGCTCAGAGAACTGACTCCCTCACAAGTTTGCCTTCTTATATAGGTCTAGGTGGCCTGGCCCAACTGCTACTCTTGGTCTACCCTAGCTTAGGAATGTGTGCTAATGGTTAGGCAGCTGTCCCCTGTGGGAATGGAGATGTTCCAAAGATAAGTGATTAGTGAAGGGCAGTTGTTTGGAAGTCTGACTTGCTTTGTGTGTGATCTAAATCTGAGTGATTGCTGTGATTCCTCCGTTATTTCTGAGCTTTGGTTTGTGAGCTTGTCTCTTATTGGGCCCAAACTGCAATTAGCCTTCCCTGATGTTTATAAGCAGTCTCTCCTATTAGCTAGGCCTGCACTGTGGCCTGGTGAGTACAGATATATGTATTGGTTTCCTCTCCTTCTAAGGCTGAGTTTACTTTATTAAGGATTTGGTTTATATGCAGGTTGTAGGAGCTGGAGGTTCTTGCTGGCTTTTTTCTCTGAAATTTAGTTTCCTAGCATCAGTCTGTGCAGGATTATCCCTTTGGGCATTTTGCCCTCTTGCTGTGCCCTTGTCCTTTCTCCCATTAATCATATATCAGTTTGGGATGGTTATCTACAGTAATTAATAGAGATCAGAAAACTGCACTTACCTTCTCCTCACCCTGTTGCTCAACCAGCTAGTGAGCTGACACTTTGTCACTAGAGCTCAGTGGCTTTGTCACTGGGGCTCCTCATGCTCGGATACAGACATTTTTCTCCTTCTTTCATAGTTTTAGAACCTGGGATCATCCAACAAAGCTGAATGGTGGAAGATTCAGGACAGATAAACAGTTCATAGTTAAACTGTGGAATTAACTATCATCAACATGTGACATAATGTGATGATAGCCACCAATTTATATAGCTTTGAAAGGGGATTAAACAAATTTACATAGATAGTAAGGCAATCTATGTGTATCAATTGTGATGTCGATATGCTACCTTGGAGATCAGAGGCAACATGCTTTCAAATACCAATTTTTGTGGGACAGAAATTATATCATACTTGTTGGATTCCCACAGGTATCTGGTTCTCACTCTGGCCTGCCCAAACAGGTCTTTGATCAGATCAAGGGCAGGGCTGTTGCTATATTGTTTCAAGAATCAAATGCAGGGAAGTGGCAAGTTTGAGGAATTTTAGTTCATTTCAACTGTCCTTATTTACACTAGTCTATTTAATTATTACATTTCTGAAGCACCCAATAACTAATTTCTCTGAGCATATTACAAAACGCATTTCTACTCTGCATTTGACCATAGCTAAAAGCAAGACAAGAGCATCATGCAGTGTCCTACTGTTTTTACTTTAGTTTGATACTCTGCGTACAGCCAAATTTAAGAGGGAACTAGAAGTGTATTTATGATTTCTTTGTGCACTGCAACCTCTGAGGATGCTACCGAAAAACTGCTGAGAAAAAATCTGGACCCAATCTATGTACTTCAAATCCACTCATAGTCATGACTGTAAGAATTTCTGAATTTCTGCCAGCTCAGATCCATTCCCAGGAACCACCCAGATGCTTCCACTGCCACTGCCACACATGTCTTACACAAAATGGAAAATTCAAAGAGTTTGGTTCCATGCTTGTATCCTGTAGTGATGGAAGGAGGAAAGGCCTCATATGAGATACCAAAAGCACTGAATTGGTTTAAGACTGTTTCTGTCAGCTCTTTCCAAATGCCATAAGGATTTTATAACACACTATCTCACTAAAGGATATATCCAGGAATATACTGCCATTTCCCTCAAATGATGCATACTGCTGAAAGCTTTAAGGTACTGCAAAGTAAATATAAACCTGCAGAGAGATGCAAAGCCTATCTGGTTCATTTGTAAAATCAATACTGCTCAAAAATATGTAGGTTTGCTCTTCAGTTGTAAATTACAGTACCTCTGTGATAATTTATGCTTTCCAGACAAGTTATGTTCATGCAAAAGTAAAACTAAATTATATGTTTAATCTGTAGTGAGACTTTCCGTAAAAAAGTTGAAAACATAGTTGTTCTCCTTCAAAACTTATTTCAAGTTGCCACAGATACTTTTGTAATTAAAGTAGAAATGAAAAGCAAAACAAAACTGCATAAGCATCAATAGCAGAAAAGAAAAAAGCTGAGTGGGTTTGGCAAAGCACAAAGTTACATGTTGATCCTAGGGTGTTAGCTGAATTGACCACCCATTGCTTCATAGCAGTTAAATATTTCATGATACAAAAGCAAGAATGAACTGACTGACCTCTTTAATTACACCGTGGTGACCTTTTACTATAAGGCTAGGAGGGGCAGCTCTTTTGTGTCCCAAGATTGGCCAGAATTAGGGACCACAAACACATCTCTCCCCTCCCCTCCCCTCCCCCACCACACATGCATGCACTTTATTAAGAGCAGGAACCTCTGTCCCTAAATTATATCCATACGGGTGTTCTTAAAAACTGGCTTATACCTTTCATATATTTACAAGAGCTGAGCAGGGCTGTCAGAGATCGGACATTTTGAAGGGTTTTATTCATAGAGTCAACCATAAGTTGGGGATGACTTGATGGGATACAACATAACATATAAATGTATTTGAATACAGTAATTCCTTTAAATATATCACTGTGGCTTCTTGAACTACTTCTTTGCCTGGGTAAATGAAGACAAATATAAAATATGTCCTTCATATAAAAATGCATTTCTACGGAGACATATACCTTTGCCTTTTTCCCATTAAATAAAGAAACTACTGGCAAAGGATTACTCCCAAGCATCCGTGCATTTTAAATGGAAACACAGCAACTGCAGTGTTCCGCAGAGCTTCCGCTATTGGGTGGTACAGAAATGAAATAAATAGTTTCCCTGCACATGTGTTCTCTTGATCACCTTCTTTTAAGAAGTGTAAAGCATATGAGCAAGAGACGGCAACAGAGAGTAACCCTTTGCCTGCCCTACAGCTCCAGAACAGGCTTTCCCCAACCCTGGCTGCAGTTGCCACACTCACTGGGAGTGGTCAGAGCTGGATCTGGAGGCAAAGGGTTAAATCCCATGCACATGTTGTGCTCCCCAAATTGCTAATTACTTGAGAAAATAACAAGGAAGTGGAAACTACACGTGGGCACAGTGTTTCTATTTTTCTAAAAATCTGCTCCAATCCTGAGTTGGGGGCAGAGCCCATATACTCTGGAGCCAGGGTTCCTCAAACTTTTTCTAAAGGGGGCTAGTTGACAGGTGCCAGCGGTGGGCGCGGGCTGCCAAGGTGGTGCCGGCAGGGGGGTGCAGGCTGGTGAGGGGGCGGGGGCGCACATGCGCACGCATGCGAGGCGAGGTGGCGGCTTGCTTGTGAGGAGATCGTTTTCTCTGAGCGAGTCTAAAACCACCTCCTTGTGAACAAGCCACATGCCCGGCGAGTGCAAAACCTGTGGGGCGGGCCGGTCAAATGGGCATGGCGGGCCAGATCTGGCCCACGGGCCTTAGTCTGAGGACCCATGGAGAGACACAGGAGATAGCAGGACTTCCCCCAAGCTATTGCACAGGGGGGGGGGGGGGGAATGCAAATACCAGAACTCTCCCAAGGCAAGGTCAGCCTACTTAAATTTATTTTAAAGTGCAGTTTCTGCACTAGATCCACAACATTGTTATAAGTGATATTTTACTGCAGCAAATTTTGTTGTGAATACTTTTGGGAGAGGTCTGATTTTAGGACAGGAAAAAAGACATGTCTGGATGCTATTTTTTTTTTAATCTACACTACAGTGGACCATAGCATTACATTGACATTCAATGTGATTGGCTGCAGTGGAGAGGTCATCCAAAATGGCATGACTATGCCAACAGCATAGCCTACAGGGTATCAAGACTCTTAACTGGGTCAAAAGAAAATTCATGGAAAGTAACTCTGGAACATTGGTAAATTAGTGATTTTGCTGAAGTTCCTACTTTCTGCTAAAACTTTATATTCTGATGAAACTTCTACAAAAAATGACAACCCAATGAAATTCTGGTATTTTTAATGTAATAGTGCACATTTGGACATAATACATACTCAGGTTTTAGAGTTATACAAAAAAACACTGAACAAAGTTTATGGGAAGCAGCTGAGAGAGGATCACTGCAACATTAGGAAAGCAAGGCAACTACTTCTTCTAACATCGATTATGCTAACAGAGCCTTAGTCTGTGTTCGAAATACTTCAGATCACTTTTACAGATCACCTAAATCCCTTCTTCAAAATCAGTTGCTCCAATTTTACCCACAGACTACTTCACCTTTCATACAAGCAGAAGCACTGTGAAGTGGAATTAAGAGAGCACCTGATAAGCCTTTGAGGAATAATAAGATTCAGATCCCGAAGACAGAAAGAAGAACATCTCTGATACAATAAAGGAAGAGGGGGAATGCACATGAAAGTGGAGGGTGCTCTGGTGATCCTCCAGATATTGCTAGACTGTAACTCCCATCGGTATGGAGAATAATCAAGAGTGATGGAAGTTACAGCCCAACAACATATGCAGGGCCACAGCTGCTTTAGGGACCACTTCATTCTGCTATCTTTACAATGAAAAGGCAGCACATCTTAGCTGGTAAGAGCTGAAGGAGATTCCACCCAACACCTGCTGTGGCAGTTGGCTTAATAGCAGTCCTTTGCTAGATTCGACAATTGCACCCACATTCTCCTGTGAGGGATTAATTGTTTGCTAAAAATAAAAAAGGGATTTGCATTTCAAGTGAACTGCTTTAGCAATGTGTTATTTGACAGAAGGTGAAATTAATCCACTTTCTGCTTGATGAGCCTAGATTTTATTTCAGATGTCCAGATTTAAACTGACCCCTCTAAAATGAATAAATAAGTATATTAAACAGGGATGTTCTATAGCCCTGTCACACAGCACATAGCAATAATATCAGCCACAGACTATGAATGAAGCTGAAAGAATTCACATGTACATATACAGAACTGGCAAAGAAAGCTGAAGAGGTAAATCAGGAAAGAAAAAAACACCTACTGCAGTTTCATGGCATCTTGGCAAACTGATGGGCTTCAACTTCAACATCTACACACTGAAATGTATAACCTAGAGATAAAAATAAGTCACTATTACAACATGTTTAGGAGAAAAATCAATTGCACAGACAACAATAATTAGTCCAAATTAAAAAAGAAGGGGAAAAGTCAAGCTTACATATGGGAAGTGGTGCATTTTCAGGAAGAGTTAAAACCAGTTTGTGCATGCAATATTCCCTTGTTCTAAGGACTTGCATGACACCAGGGAGGATTTAGAGATCAAATGTCAGCCTGCTTCCATGGGAACCGTTAACACCCATTCTATACCATCTTGGCCTGAGCCTTTTGTGCTTAGCAGAAGTATTCACCCTGTTTTGTCTTTTCCATACTTTCTTCCATTACTAGCTGGAACTGAAATGAATTTAACAAGCACAGATGAACTCCATTCAATTACTTAGAGACTTTTGTGACTTCTAGAGACAGTTACACCACAGCGTATTTAGCCATGTTGTGGCTAAGAGGGTGAATATTTATGCAATCAACAAGTGTCAGCTTGTTTTTGTTTGCATAATTTTGCCATAATAAAAATATTTTGCCCCTTCACACTGTTGGGTATCTTGTGTACATCAAGAGGTAACAATGGCAACTAAATCCATTTTAATTCTGGGTTGTAACACAAGAAAATATGAAAAGGTAAAGGGGAAGGTGAATACGTTTACAAGGAGAATGACTCTCTGGCATCTCAGGCATTAAAGACCCCAAGTCTGCAACAACAGACACTGGTCCCTTAATATCTGCAAAGAATACCCAGTAAGGAAGACTCCACTGAAAGACCAAGCTCTGCAGCCTCCATGAGTCCTCAGTTGAGTGCAGTCCTTTACTGGGATAGCACCTCCTTTAAGTGAAAATATGCTGCCAGCACACCCTGCAGTACACTATCCAAGGTCCTGATGCGACTCCTGGCTTGGCCCATGAGAATGAGCACTGTGCACCTCCTCCAGGTCTCATACCTCATCAGGACAACAGAGGACAGAAGAATTTAATTCTAAAAGTCTGCTCCATTTACATTAGAAAAGTCTATATCCTGGATGCTACAGTCTGCATTTAGTTGCTTTAGGACAGACGCTAGAGTGCTGGACATCTGTCTGCACATATTATTTGTGTTGTGTAAAATTCTGCTTTAAGTCTTTCTCTCTGCCTCCTCCCCAGCAAGTGCAAAGAAATACACATTCTGGATAATACTACTTTTAATTTGAAACAAGAATGTTAGATTGAATTGAGGTATTATAGGTGATCCTGTGCACCAGTCTCTAAGTTGTGAGGCTCTAAGAGCAGTCAAACAGCAGTTGCAACAGGGACTGACAACATGTGGACTGTCAACTGTTTCAATCCGCAATCCACTGAAGGCTGCCAGGTGAATCCAGGGATCACAATGAGGGTCTAATATGGGAACATGGAAAACAATTGTCATTTTGAGGAATTAGCAGGGTAGAGCAATTGTGCCTAGGCTTCTCTATGGGCCTGTTGCACTAGTTCGCTACCCTCGTATGCTTCTTTCCAGAGTCAGTTAACTGTTTGAGGGTGAACAACTTAGGTAAGTCTTTGGGGAGATCTCAAGGATATTCAGAGTAGCTGAGATGGAGTGAGCAATTCTGGATTGTTGCCAAGCATTCTCAAAGCAACTGGACTATATCCAGGATAGAGGTGGGTTACTATGAACATAATAGTATATATGAATCCCTGAGGCACTCCCACAGTGGGATCTCAGAGCAGGCTGATACAGAAAGGTGCCACATAAGGCATATGTTAGTGGGATCCCCAGGCTAATATAGGGACATAACTTTGTAATTTTCCTCTGCAGTATTTTGTTTTCTTCTACTTTATTAATTTGCTCCTCCTTAATAACATCTTTAGCTATCACCCATTTGTGTATTCATTGTATTGGCAACACAGGTTCCTTCTGGCACTTTTGTTGGCAGAACTACAAAATGTTAAACTAAAAAGGGAAAGGAAGGGAACTGCAGGGAAATCATGCATGTGGTAACCTGGCAACTACCAATCACCACCTATTGTTTCCAGGTTATCAGGAAGCATTAGGAGAAACTTTTTTTCTATGTTTTTGCTATGCAATTACACACAATAATTACTCCTTAGTTTCATTTCACCTTTCCTTTCAGATTTTTGGTACACTTAAGAAAAACTGACTATAAATTAAGCAGTTACTACTGCTACACATATGTTTGAACTGATTCATTCAATCAGTTTCAAACTCCTTTAGATTTTGAGAGGGTGGGAACATCATTTTCAACATCTGTCTTGTGAGTAGACTTAGTGTTGGTGGTATGTAAATAAAATATATGTGTACGTGTATACACATATAGATAAAAGACAAGGGAGTGGGGTGGTCCATCAGTTCAGTTCTCAGCAATGGACTGACTCATTGACATACAATTCCCTAGCGCTATTTGGAGGACAACACCATTCTTGGTTCTTCATACAAATTAACACATTCATCAAAATGAAAAATTCCCATTCATCAAAATGAAAGCATCAAGAGTGCAAAGCACGTAAGTTGCAAATTGGGAAGTTGAACTTCTGGGGCAGTCATCCATGTTTTTAAAAATCTGGTGTAAATCCTAGGAGTATAAACAGAAGTGTCTAAATGAATTATGGAATGTTATGTAGGCTATCACTGAAAACCAAAACTGAAATGAATGTACTATGACTTTATTGCCTTAGTCTTCGCTCCATAAGTAGAAAGATGTACTATGCATAAGTATGAGCTTTAAAAAGCGCATTTCTCTGTGATCCATTAAAAAGAAAACCAAAAACGTATGGTTCACTTTCATTGCTTAAGGCTGATTAAACCAAGTTTATGAAACTTCTGAATATGCTGCAAATATACTCATTCATCCAAGCACAAAACACATATGAATGTTGAAGGCATCTTAGACAATAATTTTAAAAAGTATTTATTTGGGTTTATGGTAGTTAGAAACCTATTAAACATTTATACCTCTGTATTGAAATATATGCAAATATAACCTACAAGCAGCATTAAAGCCATTTTATTTTGTTTCCCATTGAAAAATCTGCTGATCTGAAAAATGAATGTTACTACAATGAACAGGTCCTGCCAGATCAACCTTGTGGAATTCTGTGACAAGGTTTCGAGGTGGCTAGATGGAGGGGACATGGTGGATGTGGTTTACCTGGATTTCAGCAAGGCCTTTGACAAAGTACCCCACGATATCCTGGTTGAGAAACTGAGAAGTTTGGGATAAACCAATGCACTGTCCAATGGATTATGGCATGGCTGATGGAATGAAAGCAGAGGATAACTATTAGAGGGGAATCATTGGGATGGCAGACGGTGACAAGCAGGGTCCCCCAGGGCTCTGTCCTGGGACCCATCCTGTTCAATCTTTTCATCAACAACATGGAAGAAGGGGTGACTAGTCTGCTGATCATATTCGCAGATGATACTAAAATGAGGACAGTGCCACAATTGAGGAGCAGGTACTCCAGATCCAGAAGGATCTGGACAGACTATGGAAGTGGGCAGGGGATAACAGGATGGTGTTCGATGCAGATAAGTGCAAGGTCTTACACTTGGGGCATAGGAATGGGTGTCATAGGTACAAGTTAGGGGACAAGTGGCTGGAGAACAGCCGTTATGAAAGGGATCTTGGGGTACTGCTTGACTACAGACTAAACATGAGTCAGCAGTGTGATGCAACAGTCAAGAGAGCAAATGCCATCCTTGGTTGTATAGCCAGAAGTGTGGCTTCTAGATTGAGAGAGATATTTTACTGCCACTCTGTACAATCCTGGTGAGCCCACAACTGGAGTATTGTGTTCGGTTCCGGGCTCCACATTAGAGGAAGGATATAGCCTGGCTGGAATCAGTGCAGCATAGGGCTGCAAGCATGGTGGCCAGATTGCAGGGAAAGCTGTATGAGGTGAGCCTGAGGGAACTGGGTCTTTTCAGCCTGGAGGAGACAAGATTCTGAGGGGATCTGTTGGTGACATACAGGTATGTGAGGGGGTGCCACACAGAGGTGGGTAGAAATTTCTTTTCCCCTGCAGAGGAGGGCAGGATGCATTCCAATGGAGCAAAACTCGGAGAACCAAGGTTCAATTTGGATGCCAGGAAGTACTTCCTGACAATTAGGATCCCAAGGGTATGGAATGGGTTTCCACAGGAGGCAGTTGAAGCCCCATCAGTAAGAGTGTTCAAGGATAGGTTGGACATGCACATGGTAGGCATGTCATGAGTGGAGCCAACTGGAGTTGGAGGTCAGACTAGATGGCCCAGGAGGATCCTTATGACTCACTCTGTTTCTGTTTCTATGTAAGATGTTACCTGATTTCACTGTGAGTTCACAAGACAATAAACTGAAACTGCAGCCATTTAAAAAAATCTAAGCAGGTATTATAATATTAAATCTAATTTGCCTGGAATAAACATCTTATTGCTGTTCAATCTGTTTCTCTAACAGAAGGATAACAACAGCACAGAACTTAAAAAGAGAAAGACTGTGATAACTGAATGAAAAAGGGTTAAGATCAAATGACAATATTCTCACTCAACATACCAAAATCCAGGAGCTTTACATACATATATGGCACTTTATATGAGCTTAAATGGTATTAATGGAAACTGTTTTTAAAATTTCTGTTCATTTTTGATCAGAGATCAGTTTGTAAACCTGGATTAAAAATCTGGTTTGAGTAAATCCTTAATCAGATTCCCGAAGTGATAACTTGGTTCCTTTCTTTCTAATGGCCTCTCTACTTCAGCACTCCAGAGCAGGCAAAGCACTTCTGATCTCTTTACCACGGCATCACATGCAGCCTTCAACACTCAAAACAGTATATAAAACTTCTGAGAGGCCTAAGGAGGGGAGGCAGGTGTTAAAAGCAAAAGCACTGGGGACAGAAAAAGAAGAAATGGATGCTCTCTCATTTACTGCAAATCAACCTGAAATTCCTCTGTTAATCTCAGAAGTCAGTTGAAGTTTTGAGCAAGCTGCTGCATAAGGACAAGACACTGACAGGAGGCTGTCA